TAATTGTAATTTAATTGATTACAGAGGCAAGTCTGAGTAATCAATTGTAATCAATTACAATAAAATCTGAAAGTAATTGTAATTAAATCAATTACTGATCAATGTAATCATGCCCAGGTCTGCCCCTGGGGCGGGGCCAATTTTGACCCTAAGGCTTTTATTTGAACAAACTTGGTAGACAATCATTAGAAGATGTTTCATGCCAAATATCTAAGCTCTAGCTCTTACGGTTCTTTAAAAGAAGATATTTAAAGATTTTTCTTTCGGTTGCCATGGCAACCAGAGTTCTGCATGAAATGGAATTCTTTGAACAATCTTGATAGAGCTTCATACAAAGAGTATTCCTGCCAAGTTTCATTAACATTGGCCTTGCGGTATCATAGAAGATGTCCTTAGAATATTTAAAATGTGGACGGACGACAGACGACGGACGCCATTTGGTTGGCCATCCTAAAAGCTCACCTGCACTTTGTGCAAGGTGAGCTAAAAAGTTATGATCCAGGTACAAGTTTGCGGACGGCAACGGCAACCGCAACGGCAACGCCGACCTGACTATAACAATACCTCTACTTTTTTTTTCAAAAAAAAAAAAAAAGTTGAGCTAAAAATGAATTACATGTTTTAATGTAATAAAGCATAATAAGTGAACTGGCGGATATCCCCTTCCACATTTTAATGATATTTCCAGTTCAAATAATGTTTTCTTTTCATACAATACTGAAATAATATCTCACATACACTACTGTAGCGCTACAGATTTGATCCACATCAGTTACTAAATATTTTTACAAAACGGCGCCAATCCGTAAGCAGCGTAATGACGTCATCGTTAGCATACAATTCATTCATAAACGCAGTAGACTGACGTCATTTCAAACATACAAGAAATTGCCTCCGTGGTCGAGGGGTTAGAGTCGATGACTTCTAATCCAGTTACCTCTCTGGCGTGGGTTCAATCCCCTGGAGATGCTTTGGCCAGTTTAAACCCCAGGGCTTTTATTTGAGCAAACTTGGAAGACACCCATTAGAAGATGTTTCATGATATTAAGTTTTTACTACACACATATAATGAAAAACAATGACCTCCGCCCCCCCCCCCCCTTTGACAGGGCCAATTTAAACCCAAGGGCTATTATTTGGACAAACTTGGTAGACACCAACAAAAAGATGTTTCCTGCTTAAAATCTAACCTCTAGCTCATTGGGTTTTTTAAAAGAGAATTTTTTTTAAGTTTTTACTATACACATATAGTTAAAAACAATGACACCTCTGGGGTGGGGCCAGTTTTAACCCCAGGGCTTTTATTTGAACAAACTTTGTAGACACTTACTAGAAGATGTTTCATGCTTAATATCTAAACTCTAGCTATTTGGGTTTTTTCAAAGAAGAGTTTTAAGTTTTTGCCATACACATATAAGGAAAATCAATGACCCCTGGGGCGGGGCCAATTTTGACCCCAGGGCTTTTATTTGAACAAACTTTGTAGACACCCATTAGAACATGTTTCATGCTAAATATCTTAGCTCTAGCTCTTTGGGTTCTTTAAAAGAAGATTTTTTAAGTTTTTAATATATGCATATAGGGAAAATCAATGACCCCCTGGGGCGGGGCCAATTTTGACCCCAGGACTTTTATTTGAACAAACTTTGTAGACACTGACTAGAAGATGTTTCATGCTTAATATCTAAACTCTAGCTACATGGGTTTTTTCAAAGAAGATTTTTTAAGTTTTTGCTATACACATATAAGGAAAATCAATGACCCTAGGGGTGGGGCCAATTTTGACCCCAGGGCTTTTATTTGAACAAACTTTGTAGACACCCATTAGAACATGTTTCATGCTAAATTTCTTAGTTCTAGCTCTTTGGGTTCTTTAAAAGAAGATTATTTAAGTTTTACTATATGCATATAGGGAAAATCAATGACCCCCTGGGGCGGGGCCAATTTTGACCCCAGGGCTTTTATTTGAACAAACTTGGTAGACACTCATTAGAAGATGTTTCATGCTAAATATCTTAGCTCTAGCTCTTTGGGTTCTTTAAAAGAAGATTTTTTAAGTTTTTACTATATGCATATAGGGAAAATCAATGACCCCCTGGGGCGGGGCCAATTTTGACCCCAGGGCTTTTATTTGAACAAACTTGGTAGACACTCACTAGAAGATGTTTCATGCTTAATATCTAAACTCTAGCTATATGGGTTTTTTCAAAGAAGATTTTTTAAGTTTTTGCTATACACATATAAGGAAAATCAATGACCCCCGGGGCGGGGCCAATTTTGACCCCAGAGCTTTTATTTGAACAAACTTTGTAGACACCCATTAGAACATGTTTCATGCTAAATATCTTAGCTCTAGCTCTTTGGGCTCTTTAAAAGAAGATTTTTTTTAGTTTTTACTATATGCATATAGGGAAAATCAAGGACCCCCTGGGGCAGGGCCAATTTTGACCCCAGGACTTTTATTTGAACAAACTTTGTAGACACTCACTAGAAGATGTTTCATGCTTAATATCTAAACTCTAGCTATATGGGTTTTTTCAAAGAAGATTTTTTAAGTTTTTGCTATACACATATAAGGAAAATCAATGACCCTCGGGGTGGGGCCAATTTTGACCCCAGGGCTTTTATTTGAACAAACTTTGTAGACACCCATTAGAACATGTTTCATACTAAATTTCTTAGTTCTAGCTCTTTGGGTTCTTTAAAAGAAGATTATTTAAGTTTTACTATATGCATATAGGGAAAATCAATGACCCCCTGGGGCGGGGCCAATTTTGACCCCAGGGCTTTAACTTGGTAGACACTCATTAGAAGATGTTTCATGCTAAATATCTTAGCTCTAGCTCTATGGGTTCTTTTAAAGAAGATTTTTTAAGTTTTTACTATATGCATATAGGGAAAATCAATGACCCCCGGGGCGGGGCCAATTTTGACCCCAGGGCTTTTATTTGAACAAACTTGGTAGACACTCACTAGAAGATGTTTCCTGCCAAATATCTAAGCTCTAGCTCTTTGGGTTTTTTAATAGAAGATATTTAAAGTTTTTTCTTTTGGTTGCCATGGCAACCAGAGTTCTGCATGGAATTAAATTCTTTGAACAATTTTTAAAGGTGACCACCAAAGGAACATTCCTGTGAAGTTTGGATGAAATTGGCTTAGTGGTTTATGAGGAGATGTCATTTAAAGTAAAAGTTTACGGACGGACGACGGACGACGAAAAGCGATCACAAAAGCTCACCCTGTCACTTTGTGACAGGTGAGCTAAAAATTATAAAATATAAAAGATTAATATATTAATAAGGGCCCCTATGTAAAGTCTGATGAATATTAAATGGTAAATCATCAAATAATATTATATTTTTTTTCAATAAAACTAAGACTGAGGTAAATATTTTTTTCTCAATATTTTAAACAAGCGACTTTTTGATAGATAGTTAAACAATTTACATTGTTTCACTTTAAACACTTAATTAGGTTCTTATTGTTTTTTTTTGATAATATCTGACAATTAATCAAGTAAGGCATTTCTGCAGGTGTTTAACTCAAAGACATTTTCTAGTTTTATGAAAATTTAATCCTGTCATAGAATTTTCAACAATTTTTGTATGATAAGTTAAATTTAATAGTGAATTCAAAAATAAAAAGAAAATATATGTTGACGCGTTGGATTTCTGGTAAAATGGCTGTTCCGATGGTAACTGAATATCTCATAACTGACAAAATAGCCTAACTGTTATAACGAATAGAAAATGTATATTATAAGAAAGCTTAATACACACAACAAGCATTGTTTTATGCAAAGTTAACCTAATCCAATGATTCTTTATGAAACAAATGAAAATCTGAACATGTTTCTTTAAAAAATGAGTTTTCCATGCTCCTTAACTGAACAAAAAATGAGAAAAATAAACATGAACTCTGTAAATAATTAAAGCTATCAAGAAATTTCTTTCATAAAATTTTCTACATTTTTGATATATCAAGTCAAATTTTATGGTGGATTCAAAAATAAAAATAAAAATATATATAGGCGTGTAAGTTGTTTTATTAACAGGCAGTTTCCATGGTTACCGCATCCCAAACCAAAAGGAAAGCTTGCGGCAAGCTTGCGACAAGCTTGCTGCAAGCTTGTCGCAAGCTTACATTGGCTATTTATGCTTGCTGTAAGCTTGCTGCAAGCTTGCGCAAGCTCGCCAGTAGTTTCATACAGAATTCTGCAAGCTTGCGCAAGCTTACAAAACAATTTTTATCGCAAGCTTGCGCAAGCTTCTTCGAAAGTTTAGACTTAGAAAATTCTGTGAAAGCAGGAAAATGAAAAGTAGTGAAAAATTTCTAAGTACAAAAACTTGGAAATGTTTATAAAATCATTTCACTCAAACTAATTAGCATTTATATAATATAATGGGATTCAAATGAAAACATTTATTTCATAGATTTTATTTGCCTGTCTTACATTCTTTGTTTTTAAGATTCATATAACTTTATCAATTTTTTTAATTACTCACTAGTGTTATTAAAATTCTTATTACTTTCTCAAAATTATTAATTAATGCCATGTCAAAAATTAGAGATTCACTTGAGACATCTGGATGATGTTCAGTAAAAAAAAGAAAATCACCCAAAATCAAAATGAAAGAGGAAATCAAGAGTGTTTCAGCTTATAAATTTTTAATTAAAGCTTTCAACACAATTAAACTAACATAAAGTTAGTATTTTAAATTAGTTATTATGAAAGTTAACAAAAGTCACATTTTTTAACAATTGTGAACATACAAGCAAATATAATGAACATTTTATTTTGTCTAATGGCTATTTTTTTTTTATTTCAATCATTGAATGTTAATTTGTTTTATTCATGTGTCTTTTAATTTTTAATTCATTAGCACAAGTATATCCCTTCTTAAATATTAACTATCTTGTGCAGAAGTTAATTATGGCATAATTAAGATTCAATTTGACATTTCATAAATTGGTCTCCTGTGAGTATTAATTGTAGACTGTTCACACAACTTACTATAAACATGTGTTATTGGTCAGTGATCGGTCAAGTGCAACATTACTTTTGCCCTACTGTTTTCATAATAACCAGTGTTAAACTCACCTATCTTATATAAAAGAAAGTGTGAGATAAGTGGGGTTTACAACATGTAATCTAATACCCTGAACCAATCTGGTATCAGGATCTGATCTCAGAAAATTCAAATATTATACTCAGGAAGAGTTTATTTGGACCTCAGTGCTTATAATTTAAAAAGATGCTTAGGAGTAGAGTTAAACATGTGACTAAAGTGCCATTTAGATGAAACAACTTTATAATGTGAACTTTAATAAAATTATAATGGGACATTAAAGGAGTTCTTCAATCAGATGGAAATGGAAATTTACTACTGTTCAATGGAATAATGGTAAGTTATTTAGACTATTTTGTTACAACAGTCTTTTCAAATTTACCTTGCAAATGAACACTTTTAATTTTAGTTTTTGTTTTTCTTCATAAATTTTACATATGTGCTGATTTAAATCTTTTTCACTGAGTGTTATTGAGTCTGCCCTTTTCTTTACATTATGTACCAGTAAATTACATTCCTGGTCATGATTTTTCATACCATTTATATTTTGAGGATATTTCAGTAAATTATGGGTTTAATTATTAACAGTACCCGAAACTACTATCAGAATAAGCATTTTGATTTTACTCAATTTATATATTATGTATTAGTAATGAATATTTTTTTCTTATTTACAGGAAAACTTACAATGCTACACAGGTATCATAGAGAGTTTCAAATTATAATGATGAAGGAAAGAAAAATGAGGTTGATTACAGAAATAATTGATGGTTAGTTTTGTTATTCAATAAGGTTAGATAATTGATAAAAATAATGAAATAAATAATTACAATTGATTTGAACAATTTTAACTGTTAGATGAACAACTTTCAATGTAGTATAAATTTCCATTTAAATAAAATGATTGTATAGAATATAATTTTTGTATATTAAAAGTTCTGATAAAAAGATTCATTATCAGTCAAAACCAGTAGGAATGTGAATAATTTTCAATTGTATTGTTTAAACTAACAATTGCCTTGTTAGATATAGATCTATGTTGTTGAAATTATTTATAGAAATATTTAACAAAATTAAAAACTATTGCAGCAAGAACAATTTTAATTTTTATAAATAATTAAACTGGCAAAATTGCCCAAAAATAATATTTTACTATTGCCAAAAAAATAATATTTTACTATGCAATTTGTGCTTTCAAATATTGATCTTTTTAATTACATGCCAATAATACCAATCATATGCATATTAAACATAAATAATTAATTATGATACAATTTTTTTTTTCAGTGTGTACAACAGGCAGTCAATAATATGGATAGTTGTGTGCAACAGTGAAGCCATTCTGAAAGACTGAATCTGTGAAGGACATGATTTATCATAAATTATGGATACTTATTTGAAAAAAAAAAAACAAAAAAACAAAAAAAACAGTTATCTTAAATAAATAATGTTTTGTTTTCTATTTTCTCAACTTGGTAGACATTTATTATTTTTTGAATTTGTGTTATAGAATTATTTTTGTTAAGATGACTTGTAAATCTAGAAATAAGTTGAAATGAATAAATTAATTCTATTATGTAATAGTTTATTAATATTATACCTTATCACATGAGGACGATTAATTGCAATATTGGAGAATTTAAAGAAGTTTGTTACAGGCCAGACGCAAGCTTGTCGCAAGCTAGAGGCAAGCTTGCCGCAAGCTTGCAACTAGCTTGCCGCAAGCTTGAAACTAGCTTGCCGCAAGCTTGCAACTAGCTTGTCGCAAGCTTGCAACTAGCTTGCCGCAAGCTTGCAACTAGCTTGTCGCAAGCTTGTGGTGCCTTTCAAATCTAAAGCATGCATTTTTGAAAACAGGCTGCAAGCTTCCCAAGCTTGTCGCAAGCTTTTATAAAGCTTGCGATTTTGGTTTGGGATATGCCAATTGTCAAAATAACCACGTTTTGTATGAAATCAGTGTTATACTAAATAAATTGTCATATATACAACAAAAACATGTTGAAATATAAATTTCTTTTTCTTTTGATGTTATATTAAGTAAATGATACTGAATATGTACATTATGTATTTTAAACGTTATATAAGGCCATACTATTTCTTCACTTGACTAACATACCCGAACAGTAAGCAAGTATTCAGACATTTACAAAGAAATAATGAAAATCGGAACATTTCGTAGATATTATTTTTGTTTTTTATTCAACATTTTTAAAATATATCATTTTAAACTTCTTTGCCCACTAGTCTGCCAGTTATCAAGTGGCGACGCACTTTCGTCACTTTACCACAAGTGGCAGGGGTAACGCACGCAGAATCATCATCAATGCTGTCGTACTAATGCAAGGAGAAATGCTTTATCTGATGTTGTGTAAACAACCTCTTATTCTTTTGAACCGATCTCCTCCTGAACATTTAGAATTATCAATTCTGTATTATTTACTCATTATTTGCTTATAGCCGAAATTTAAAACAGTTATCCGAGTACTATTTTTGAAGAATAATTATCCTTGATTATCTTTCTTTGAAGCGCATAATGATGCGCACAAAAAAACTACCGAAAACGTCTTTAATACAGTGTGCGACTTTATGCAATTTGGTCCGACATGACATCAACACCGCAGAATTAAATATGTGTTTGAATCTAGGTTGTGGTTGAAAAATGGTTGTTTTTTTATAAGATTGTTTAGAATTTTCAATATTTTTTGTTATTTCCCTTTAATTAACAGCATGTATAAGAGCAAAGGAAAAAGTGTTTGGAAAGTTACGATTGAAAAATGCAAATTTATTTAAATCTTTTCAAAGTGAATTTATAGAACCAGGAGCTTTTAGTTATATAAGATATTAATGTATATATACTAAAAGAGGTGGAATATGTTATATAAATATTATTTTTTATCTAAAAGTCCGGCTCGAGTATCGTCTGCTATCAGCTTATAACACGGCTAAGTCTGTTATTATTTAATGAGTCACAAAATTCATCTGATAAACAGGTAAGTTATCATCACGATTATGGAGTCTTATTGATGTTTTTTTTTAACAGAACAGAACAGAATTTTTTTTTCAACAATAAGGAATTGAACTTACGTTCCACTTCCATACATGCAACACATATAAACATAGGTCAATATACATGCATAAACATATTATAGTTATATTTAACAATAGGTTATCAATACATCAACACAGTTTAAAAAGTGGCACATTTTTTTACGTTAACTGTTTAGACAAAATTATAAACAGAACCATTTTTAATTGACTCAATAATTGACAAGTCTGTGATAAAAATTTTCTGTCCAGATTCTTAATGGACGATTCGTGGTAGCAGAGGTGCATTAACACGATATCCTGCAACCCATGTTCGATCCAGCTTTTTTGAACGGACAAGTTGTCGGGCTTTAAAACACAGTCACTCTCGAAACTTTGTAATGCTGTCCTTTACAAAGATTCCGTAATAAAGATAGGAGATTGCCAATTTATTTCAGTTTCAAGCCAACTGAGAAAGGTTGGGATCCAAATGAATGGACTACTTGCTTGCAAACATATACAGCAAAACATTTGTATTTAGACTTACTTAAGAAAATGTCTCACAAAACACTGATTGTATTTGCAAAAGAATTTAGTTTTTTAGCCTTTTGTTATCATCTCGTAGAGTGCATTAATTATACAACTGAGTGATTGCAATCAAGGGTGATTTTGACCCTGAAATGACAAGTTTTACCATGAGACACATTGTGCTGTAACAATAAGCACTTAAATCAAATATTTAAAGTTGTGCTGCAAAATGGTAGAAACAAGAACCAAAGACACAATGAATTTCAAATTTTCAGCCTTTCTTTTTGAGAGACCCTTTTCTAATAAAGATTTGGTCAGAAAAATGGAATAACAAAGCCCAATTATTATCAAATTAGCATTTTCTGTTTTTTAATTATCTAATTTATTAAAAACAAGAGCTGTCGGTAGGACAGCACGCTCGACTATTCTTAGTGCTTGATAGAAAAAGGGCCTTGATAATGTTAAATTTTTTAAATTCACAAAAGGGCTCATTTTTTTTTATAAATTCATGCCTTAGAGAGAGTCTAATTATACTCACAACAAGAACTGTCGGAGTTTCAAGTAAATACCTTTGAAGACCTTTAACCTTAAATTTAACCAAAATTTCTAAGTTTCAAAGGGGCAAATATTCTGCAAATATTGCAGGCAGAGCTATGCAATTTTGCAAACTGATGTACATTGTTACTATAAAAAAGTATTGTAAATTTCAATTGAATATCTCAAGCAATAATTGACTTTAACCAAAATTTCTAAGTTATAAAGGGGCATAATTCTGTAAATATTATAGGCAGAGTTATCCAACTTGTCAATCTGATGTACATTGTTACTATAAATAAGTATTGTAAGTTTCAATTGAATATCACAAGCATTAATTGAGATATTTGACTTTACAAAAAACTTTAACCAAAATTTCTAAGTTAAAAAGGGGCATAATTCTGTAAATATTGTAGGCAGAGTTATCCAACTTGTCAATCTGATGTACATTGTTACTATAGATAAGTATTGTAAGTTTCAATTGAGTATCTCAAGTAATAATTGAGATATTTGAATTTACAAAAAACTTTAACCAAAATTTCTAAGTTAAAAAGGGGCATAATTCTGTAAATATTGCAGGCAGAGTTATCCAACTTGTCAATCTGATGAACAATGTAACTATAAATAAGTATTGTAAGTTTCAATTGAATATCTCAAGCAATAATTGAGATATTTGAATTTACAAAAAACTTTAACCAACGCAGACGCGGACGCCGACGCTGGGGCGACTACAATAGCTCTCATATTCTTCGAATAGTCGAGCTAAAAATTGCATTATAGGACAATTACACATAGTTTGTAATTAAAAGTTTCTTAGCAATTCATACTCGAAGCCTTCCTATCAACTAAAAGCCTCAAATGATCAAATACTCTTTTGGTATGACTACACTGGGTATTGACAAGTCATCATATTCCTGTTTATTGTGAAAGGATTTATATCCAACTTCTTTATAAACATCCTTGCATATTTCCTCCATTTTCTCAACAATTTCCCATTTTAAAGAATTTCTCCACCAAAATGCTGTATTTCTTTTTCGCTCCATTGCACCTGATCCTGCATCCTTAAAAGCCGAAAGTTTCATGATATTTGGGTAATATTTCTCATTTATATTCATACCTAAATAGTTATATAATAGTTTAGACTTGTTTAAAATAACAACGTTTAAATCTTCGTAATAAATAAATCTGAATCTATCTGGGAATAATTTTTGCACTTTTTGACCTTCACGAAAATCGTAAAGCATTTTATTGCACAATGATTTAGCGTTTTCTATTATCATTTTGTCCGTGTATGAAGGGTACCAACTTGTAATTCTAGAATTAACAATGGCACGTGGATCTCTAAAGAGATGAATGACCTTGAGATTTTCACGTGACTGCAGAACAGGCGCCAATAGGTCTGTTGTAAGTCGTAAAACTTTTGTGACTTTATGTGTAGAGTCTTTACACCTTCTCGGTATATGTCCTTGAAAACATATCTGGTAATTGACCTTGGGTTTCATGCATTCTCTTGTTGTATTCCAGCTTGGACCTGTTTAAATTAAAAACATACAAAATGAAGTTTCAGAAAGCTCAGCTTGACTTATGTACATAACTCTTTGTTTGCATAGCATTATTTGGGTTTTTAAAGGCCCATGTATCCTACAATCCGTTATTACTTTTATTCTCCTAAATCCTATTATTTTTGTTGTTATTATGTGTTTTACAGTTGCTTCTATCGTAAGTTATTGGCATTCATAACTCACCTCCTAATGTGGGTGTTAACGAAGGTTCAACCACTGTACGTTCATAGCCATTGAACTGGCAATCGTAGGTTTTGCTCAAGATATTCTTAGCAAGCTCAAGAGAACCTGTCGGATGCCTGAAACAAGTATCTGTCTATCAATAGTCCATTGACGTCATTACAATGCGAAATATCATGTGAGTCATTAGTAATTTTTGATAATCAATACAAGAGGGCCATGATGGCCCTGAGGTAGCTCACCTGTATATAGGCCCCTGGAGCGGGGCCAGTTTAAACCCCAGGGCTTTTATTTGAACAAACTTGAGAGACACCCATTAGAAGATGTTTCATGATGTTAGGTTTTTACTACACACATATAATGAAAAACAATGACCTTCCCACCCCCCACCCCCTGGCAGGGCCAGTTTTAATCCAAAGGCTTTTATTTGAACAAACTTGGTAGACACCCATAAGATGTATCAAGCTGAACATCTAAGCTCTCTAGCTCATTGGGTTTTTTAAAAAGAACATTTTTTTTTTTAAGTTTTTTTACTATACACATAATTATAGTTAAATACAATGACACCCTGGGGGCGGGACAATTTTGACCCAAGGGGCTTTTATTTGAACAATCTTGGTAGACACTCATTAGAAGATGTTTCATGCTTAATATCTTAGCTCTAGCTCTTTGGGTTTCTTTAAAAAAGAAGATTTTTTAAAGTTTTTACTATATGCATATAGGGAAAATCAATGACCCCCTGGGGCGGGGCTAATTTTGACCCCAGGGCTTTTATTTGAACAAACTTGGTAGACACTCATTAGAAGATGTTTCATGCTAAATATCTTAGCTCTAGCTCTTTGGGTTCTTTAAATAGAATTTTTTTTAAGTTTTTACTAATAATGCAGATAGGGAAAATCAATTGACCCCCTGGGCGGGGCCAATTTTGACCCCAGGGCTTTTTATTTGAACAAATTTAGTAGACACCCATTAGAAGATGTTTCATGCTTAATATCTTAGCTCTAGCTGTTTGGGTTCTTTAAAAGAAATTTTTTTTAAAGTTTTTATTATATGCATATAGGGATAATCAATGACCCCCTGGGGCGGGGCCAATTTGACCCCAGGGCTTTTATTTGAACAACTTGGTAGACACAGATTAGAAGATGATTTTCATGCTAAAATATCTTAGCTCTACTTTTTTGGGTCATTTAAAAGAAATTTTTTTTTAAGTTTTTTTTACTATATGCATATAGGGAAAATCAATGACCCCCAGGGGCGGGGCCAATTTTGACCCAGGGCTTTTATTTGAACAATTCTTGGTAGACATCCATTAGAAGATGTTCATGCCAAATATCTAAGCTCTAGCTCTTTGGGTTTTTTAGAAGAAGATTTTTTAAGTTTTTACTTTATGCATATAGGGAAAATCAATGACCCCTGGGGCGTGGCCAATTTTGACCCCAGGGCTTTAATTTGAACAATCTTGGTAGACACTCATTAGAAGATGTTTCATGCTTAATATCTTAGCTCAAGCTCTTTGGGTACTTTAAAAGAAGATTTTTTTAAGTTTTTACTATATGCATATAGGGAAAATCAATTACCCCCTGGGGCGGGGCTTATTTTGACCCCAGGGCTTTAATTTGAACAAACTTAGTAGACACCCATTAGAAAATGTTTCATGCTAAATATCTTAGCTCTAGCTGTTTGGGTTCTTTAAAAGAATTTTTTTAAAATTTTTATTATATGCATATAGGGAAAATCAATGACACCCTGGGGCGGGCCAATTTTGACCCCAGGGCTTTTATTTGAACAAACTTGGTCAGCATGCCCACTCAATTTTAAATGTAGGGGTACATGTACCCCCTGTCATTGTAAATTGGGGGTACATTTCAAAATCTGGGGGTACACATAAGTTTAAACATGTTTTTGTTTGTAAGAACATTTTAATATAAATGTAGTATAATATAGTATAATTATTGTTTTGTTTTGTTAATATTTTTCATGAAATTATTTCATTTTAATGCATCAACATGGAAATCTTTTTTTTTTTTTTTTTTTTTTTTTTTTTTTTTTTTTCACTTTAATACCAAATCAAATTTTTATTCTGGTTTAAATAAGTCCACTCTATAGACAAAAGTTTATATTTTTAAAAAAACGTAAATGTATATAGGTAGCGTTTAGCGGAATGAATAGGAAAATTGTGTACAGCTTCACACAGTGTGTTAAGAGGTTCATCCGATCGACAAATATTTTAGCAATATCTTCAAAATGGGGGCAAATTGAAGATCGATATTTAAAGATTTAATGCTGATTTAATAATTAAGGAACAATTCATTCTCATGTTTGGCTTGGAAACTGAGAATTTTTGCGAAATTTTTAGGGATTCTGAAATTTCCGGCGAACGTGAAATCGCCGATGTTCGGGATCAATTTTCGGATCAAAGAAAAGCGTACGTGTATTTTTGGTTAGTTGTCCTGGCATTTCGGCACAATATGTTAATCATTAAAACTCTTATAGAACGTTTTTGCAAGAATGAAACGAAAGCAAAATTTTGCTTAGAAAGTGCCGAAAATTTCGAGAATAATTCAAAATTACACTCATTTGTAATTTGAGAAAACAGTCTTTAAAACTTGCGGCGTACTGTAAATAGTGATATTCTTATCATTTTGTCGTTAAAATTTGCTTATTCCCAATCAACTGTGGATCAAAGATGTTAAATTATCACCTCATGTTATATCTGGTAATTACATGTACAGGCGCGTGTATACATTAGTCTGATCTCTATTGCGTGATAATGATTGAAAGTGTTATCGCTGATTGGCTAATCGCTTCATGGGTCGATGTGCATAGGACCTCCTACCTATAGACTGACACGCGCTGACATATTTGTGTATTTGTGGTCGTTTGATGCGTCCCCAGGCAAGCGTACATAGGCTATCCCAAACATTCATTCTGACGATTTTACTTTGCGTGCATGTACCCCCTGCTTACAATTTTTATGCGTGCATCTAGAATTTTGTGCGTGAATTACGCACTGTAGTGCGTGAATGGGCATGCTGTTGGTAGACACAGATTAGAAGATGTTTCATGCTAAATATCTTAGCTCTACTTTTTTGGGTTCTTTAAAAGAATTTTTTTTAAGTTTTTACTATATGCATATAGGGAAAATCAATGACCCCCCAGGGGCGGGGCCAATTTTGACCCCAGGGCTTTTATTTGAACAATCTTGGTAGACATCCATTAGAAGATGTTTCATGCCAAATATCTAAGCTCTAGCTCTTTGGGTTTTTTAGAAGAAGATTTTTTAAGTTTTTACTATATGCATATAGGGAAAATCAATGACCCCCTGGGGCGTGGCCAATTTTGACCCCAGGGCTTTTATTTGAACAATCTTGGTAGACACTCATTAGAAGATGTTTCATGCTTAATATCTTAGCTCTAGCTCTTTGGGTACTTAAAAGAAGATTTTTTTAAGTTTTTACTATATGCATATAGGGAAAATCAATGACCCCTGGGCGGGGCCAATTTGACCCCAGGGATTTTAATTTGAACAATCTTGGTAGACACTCACTAGAAGATGTTTCAATGCCAAATATCTAAGCTCTAGCTCTTTGGGTTTTCTAGAAGAAGATGTTTAAAGTTTTTTCTTTTGGTTGCCATGGCAACCAGAGTTCTGCATGGAATGGAATTCTTTGAACAACTTTGTTAAGGCTTCACACAAAGAACATCCCTGTGAAGTTTCATTATGATCTGCCTTATGGTTTCAGAGGAGATGTCGTTTGAAAAGTGTGAACGGACAACGTACGACGGACGACGTACGACGGACGAAGAGTGATCCTAATAGCTCACCCTGAGCATATGCTCAGGTGAGCTAAAAATAAATGAAAAAATGTAGAAAGAACTATTTTCACTTTGCCCAATATAGTTAATAAATGTTGAATTCTGCTTAAGCCGGTGCTAAAGGGCGTGGAGGTAACTTACACCAACACAGGTCCACCGGGGTAAGGAGCCCAGTAGGACACCAAAACAAGAGGGCCATGATGGCCCTGAGGTCGCTCACCTGTATAAAGGCCCCCGGAGCGGGGCCAGTTTAAACCCCAGGGCTTTTATTTCAACAAACTTCAAAGACACTCATTAGAAGATGTTTCACAATGTTAAGTTTGTTAAGTTTTTACTACACACATAATGAAAAACAATGATCTCCCCCCCCCCCCCCCCACTCCAGCAGGGCCAATTTTCACCCAAGGGCTTTTATTTGAAAAAACTTGGTAGACACCCATAAGAAGATGTTTCATGCTAAACATCTAAGCTCTAGCTCATTGGCTTTTTTAAAAGAAGTTATTTTAAGTTTTTACTATACACATATAGTTAAATACAATGATACCCCTAGGGCGGGCCAGTTTTGACCCCAGGGCTTTTATTTGAACAAACTTTGTAGACACTTACTAGAAGATATTTCATGCTGAATATCTAAACTCTAGCTATTTGGGTTTATTCAAAGAAGATTTGTAAGTTTTTGCTATACACATATAAGGAAAATCAATGACCCCCAGGGGCAGGGCCAATTTTGACCCCAGGGCTTTTATTTGAACAACTTTGTAGACACTCACTAGAACATGTTTCATGCTTAATATCTAAACTCTAGCTATTTGGGTTTTTTCAAAGAAGATTTTTTAAGTTTTTGCTATACACATATAAGGAAAATCAATGACCCCCGGGGCAGGGCCAATTTTGACCCCAGGGCTTTTATTTGAACAAACTTGGAAGACACCCATAAGAACATGTTTCATGCTAAATATCTTAGCTCTAGCTCTTTGAGTTCTTTAAAAGAAGATTTTTTAAGTTTTTCCTATTATACATAGAAAGAAAATCAATGACCCCCGGGGCATAGAAAGAAAATCAATGACACCCGGGGCGGGGCCAATTTTGACCCCAGGGCTTTTATTTGAAACACCAATTAGAAAATGTTTCATGTTAAATATCTTAGCTCTAGCTATTTGAGTTCTTTAAAAGAAGATTTTTTAAGTTTTTACTATATGCATATAGGGAAAATCAATGACCCCCTGGGGCAGGGCCAATTTTGACCCCAGGGCTTTTATTTGAACAAACTTGGTAGACACTCATTAGAAGATGTTTCATGCTAAATATCTAAACTCTAGCTATTTGGGTTTTTTCAAAGAAGATTTTTTAAGTTTTTTCTATATGCATATAGGGAAAATCCAAGACCCCCTGGGACGGGGCCAATTTTGACCCCAGGGCTTTTATTTGAACAAACTTGGAGACACTCATTAGAAGCTGTTTCATGCCAAATATCTAAGCTCTAGCTTTTGGGTTTTTTTAAGAGAAGATATTTAAAGTTTTTTCTTTTGGTTGCCATGGCAACCAGATTTCTGCATGGAATTAAATTCTTTGAACAATTTTAAAAGGTGACCACCAAAGGAACATTCCTGTGAAGTTTGGATGAAATTGGCTAAGTGGTTTATGAGGAGATGTCATTTAAAGTAAAAGTTTACGGACGGACGGACGGATGGACGGACGGACGCCGGACGAAAAGCGATCACAAAAGCTCACCCTGTCACTTTGTGACAGGTGAGCTGACAATAGATGAAGGAAAGGGTTGCTTAAAGAAAAGCTGTTATAGATGTTTAAAAGAGGGACACAGTTCAAAAGAATGTCAGAGTAGAAAAAAATGTGTGTATTGTAATGAAGAAAATGTACACCATAGAAGTTTGTACCCTGAAAACTTTAAGAAAAGTGTGATTAAAGAAAGTGCGCATGTAACAGAAGAAGGAAATGAAAGTGAAAGTGAGCAAAGTCAAAATGATGAAAATGTGCTTTTATCATATGGGGAAAAGGTTGTAAAGCAAACAGCAAGTGCAATACTGTGTAATGAAAATAAACTGATTGAAGAAGATGCGAGGATATTGTTAGATTCGGCTTCACAAAGAACATATATAACAGAAAAGTTTGCAAAGAAATTAAAATTATGTAAAGAAATTGAACAGGAAATAACTTCAGCTACATTGGGAAGCAAACAGTCAAAGAAGATTAAAACTGCATCTGCAAAAATTAAACTGAAATCTAAATGTGGTGAGGAACTTGAGATTACTGTGAACATTGTTCCGAACATCGTCGGTGTAATACAAAGTAGATCGGTGAATATTGAAAATAGAGAGCGTTTTTATGAATTAAAAAAGAATTTATATTTGGCCGACAAAATTCCAGAAAAAGATGAAAGTGACAAAATTGATTAACTGATTGGAAGCGATTATTACCTAGACATAGTAATTGGACATAAAATTGAAGTTCAAAAAGGTTTAAAGATTTCAGTCAATGAAACATTAGTTAAAAGAAAAGAAAGTCTACGACAATTTTCTTTGGGAGTAAATAGTTAATCCGTAAAATTGCTGTAACCCTTTAAAAAGTCTATTAGCGGGTGGTTTAACAATAATATACAAATGCATTTCTAGTAATACCAGGATTTGTTACACGCTCCGGTTTTTAGATAAAAATCAATGTTATTGGAACACTCCTTTATCCTAGGATGAATAGCACCGTTGCTCAAAGAATATTTTTCTTTGTGTCCAAAGTGTTTTTTTTTTCAAAAGGTATGATTTCATTTTACTATGTCTTGAGGTGAAAATACATAAAGATATGTACACGTATTAACAAATGCGTTTTGGGGGAATATATGTTTATGTTAAATGATATTTGAGATGAATTATATTTTGAATGATAAAGAATATAGTTTTCAAATATATAAAAGGATACCTGTTAAGGTTGTCTACAAATGATTTGTCTGGTATTGCCTTCCATGGCTCCACATGTCTGTAAACAAAAGCCGACATAGTATAATTTTAATTAAAATGCACCCTTCTTTCTTTTTCCTATCTTTCCATCTTTATTTCTTTCTTTCTTTCATTCTTTCTTTCTTTTTTTGTGTTTAAAGTTTTAAAGAACTGATTCAGACGTGAAATATTTACTATATAGATGTTTGGCTGATGCTAAAATCATGATGTGGTAAACCATTGCATCCAATTTTTTCCCTCAAGGATCATTTTAATTAACTAAATTATTATATGATAGCTTTGTGACCAATCGGAATTCTTTTTATTTGGTTTTTCTGTCATTTACTTTTTCATCAGCTTAATATGACTTCTTCAAGCATTTTCTTATGCCTTTTCTCTTCACTATGAAGTTTAAATTACTTATCTACTTTTTCCCGACTAGTAGTTTACCTTCTCTTATAGTGGCGTTTACCATCATTTACTACACTTACCTTGGCGTTTGTTTATTATCCTATTCGTTATGGCTTTTAATCCTTTTTTGCGAATATTTACCTAGTACTACAATATTGGTCAATATTTTTTCATGATGGGGTACTTTAAAATCAGTAAATATTGTGCATTAAACCCTCCGTAAATAGATAATTTGTAGAAACACCATCACGTTCGGTAGAGTTTCAATTTCCTAAAGATTAATTATCACTGCAATTAACTTCCTACAATAAAATACCACTGGACGGGTAAAAGAGTATTTCATGCTATGTTGTAGCAATCGTTTGAAACTAACCCATTCACATACCTGCACTCTAGACGATCAGATCTGCACACCATGCTGTGACCATGCCAATATGTCCGCCTTGAAATTTTATACAAGGGTTCGTAAAGGTAAAATGTATCAAGTCTGTGTCCGAGAACAGTTCCAGTTAAAGTACTTCCGCCCCTCATGTAACTATTCAATAATACATCATAGTATTTTACTGAAAAAGAGAAATCTTATTCTATTCTTTTTAAAGAGAGGTCATCCAATCTTATGAAATAACAAGCTAGAGCACCAAATGCGGTGTAACAGTAGGGTGAATGTTTCGGTTGTCAAAAATAGCGTTTTTCGTGCCTCCGTTTTTCGTGTAACGTGCGTGCGTATAGCGTGCAATGTGCGTTTGCTGAAACGCTTTCTCAAGCGTGCATCGTTTACAAGCGCTTAACGTCTATCGTTTTCCGTGGAATCGTTTTTTCGTTTATCGTGCGTCTGAAAGCGTGCGTTTCTAATTTAGCGTGCGTCTGCTTTCGTCTAAGCGCTTAAGTACCGTGTTTTGCGTCTGTTACTATTGAAAAGTAAAAGAATATCTTAGATAGATATATTATGTAAATTTCTTGTTTCTTAAACATGTAAGAGATGTTGTGTGTCCCTGTCAAAGAAAAAATTATATAAAGAAGTATTATTGTGATATTTACATTAAAGTTTGTGACCTCGCGGTGAATACTGGTTAGATTTCTACATGCTTTACACCGAAGATTAATTAGTTTTAATCCTAGTTTACATACGCATAAGATTTAATTACTAATTAATTGCAACATTTTTGATATTCAATTCAGCAAACAGGTGTTTATATGCGTACCAATACATATTAGATATGAGGGTCGTCAGACATCAAATGATGGTAATCAGACTAGCACCCCAACCCCCTTGACAAGTTCATCTTCTGACTTTTCATCAAAGACTGTCCAACCCTATCCGAATCCTATTTAGGGTGATAATTATTTTAGACAGTTCCTTCCTATTTTTCTTGACAGAATTATATTGATGTAACAGCCTGGCAGGGACTCGAACCCCTGACACTCGGAATACCATTCCGCGGCTCTTGAGTTCCTCTGAGCTATTCGGCCGCTTACAAGTTTTACTTGTTAAATACTGAATAGTTATAAACCTACTGTGTATGCAAATATTTCTTCCAATTTCCCAGGGTTACTAAGCATTGTGATTTAATTTCTAGCTGGGCTATACAAATGTATGTCAGTCACAGGGTGAGAAAAAAGTGCATCCTGACATGGACTCGAACACGTGACCCTCTAAATATCGTACCGCGGCTGTACCGACATTTGTTAAAAGTTTAATTATTTGTACATGTATAGTGAACATTTTACTAATTATACATTGTACTATTTCTATAATTTTGTACAAATAAAAATAGCTAGATTTTTTTCTAGATAAGAAAATTCTATGGTGGCTAAAATATACCATGATGTACTTTTTAGACATGTAATCACAACAGACAGGCTAAGCCACCATTTACAAAATTCCCCTATCTGTCAGTTCATAATCAAGGCATAGACTACTATTTTTGTATGTGGCCTGGGCTTTTAAAGACCTTTATTTTGTTTCAAGATCTGTCTGACAGTCATATTGATGTAGTGTTATTACTTGTGATATTTAATAAATATATGTTTTGTTAAATAATGATACCTTGATTAGGTATTCCCTATGTAATTCTGTGTTTCTATTAAATGTGTAATAATCCACAGTATTGAGATTGTCATTTTTATTGTTCTATTAATACTGCCTGCCTTTTTGGTATGCAGTTCGGTCAAAATATTAATATAATCCAGCATATTTTTTCCATGCGTTAACAAATATTATTCTTATTTTATATTAAATTCACCCCAGCTGGATTTCTATGAATTTCAACCAGTCCAATCAAACAAAGAGAATACAATGATATAGCAATATTCCTATTATGTACAATAAAAAACAGTTACAATTATTATTTTAGCAATCTTAATAAAATTGTCAATCCTTCTTTCCCGATCCAGTTCAGTGTTTACATGTTAAAAGTTAAATGAGCCGCGTCACGACAAAACCAACATAGTGGTATGGCCCAGACCAGCCTGCATATCTGCGCAGTCTGATCAGGATCCATGCTGTTCACTTACAAACAGTATAACAAGTAGAGACACTGTTAGCGAACAGATGCGCAGGCTGGTCTGGATCCATGCTGGTCGCAAACCCATTATGTTGGTTATATCGTGACGCGGCTCAAATATATCTTAATCTTATATGAGGTCCATATTATAACCCACTTTGATAAACATATATAGCTTTCTTGATTTTTATTCTGTATATTATCTAAAATCACTTTTAAGGTTTATCAATCCGTAATCATTACTAATAACATGATACCCCTTTGAGATACCCGAGATGAGCCTGTGTCGCCCTTTGCTAACTTAAAAGTATATAACCTATCCATATATAACCATATAATTCTTTGAAGATTTTTCTCAGCTAGGTATGCTGTAGTCCCAAGTCACTTGTTTAACTTCCCTCAAGTAAGTTATAACCTCATAACTGATAAAATTCTAACTATAATATACTTAAATATCACCTATGTATTTATATAAATTTACAAAAACCCATTTTGCATACTTATATCTTTTGGGACCTGTACAATTTCAATTGATTGTAATTTTAATTTTTCTACAATATCAATTAATTTTTATGCTTCATAGGTAGGTCAGTTCATTAAAAAGAGCTTAATACAAGATCCCTATGAAAAGTAATGTAATTGATAACTCAATCCAAATAAACTTTATTAATTAAAAGCTTTAATTAGATGACTTAACAAGAGCTGTCTGTGGGACAGCATGCTCGACTATTCTAAGTGCTTGATAGTAAAATTTTTTAAGTTCACAAAAGGGCTAATTTTTTTTTATAAATTCATGTTATAGGCCTTAGAGAGAGTCTAATTATACAGTATTGGCTTGACTATTCAGAAGGTAATGTCACAAGGGTGTTTTATTGAGTATAATAATACTAATTACCTATGAATACATAAATTTGACAGAAAAGGTACAAAGGCTTGTTATTAAGATGTTTTATCAAGTAAATCACTGCTTCATTATTATGAATGCATAAAATTGTCCCAAAAAAGGCACAAACCCTTCAGTAGTTATTGAGATAACAGCTTACAAGCAAAACTTTACCATGAATTTCTAAGTTGAAAAAGGGGAGAAAAATCAGCCTAAATGCAAGATAGAATTATGGATCTTTGTCAGTGACCTACAATTATGACCCTAAATGCATATGTGAAGTTTTAAATAAATATCTTTAATAGTTATTGAGATATGTAAAACTTGCATGTAAACATTTACCAAGAGACTAAGTAGAAAAGGGAATATGAATCAGCCTTAATGCAAGATAGAGATATGGAACTTGGTCAGTGACATACAATTATGACCCTCCAATTATGAACCTAAGTGCATGTGTAAAGTAGTAAATATCTTTGAAGACCTTTAACCTTTAACCAAAATTTCTAAGTTTCAAAGGGGCAAACAATTCTGCAAATATTGCAGGCAGAGTTATGCAATTTTGCAAACTGATGTACATTGTTACTATAAAAGAGTGTTTTAAATTTCAATTGAATATCTAGAGCAATAATTGAGATATTTGACTTTACAAAAAACTTTAACCAAAATTTCTAAGTTAAAAAGGGGCATAATTCTGTCAATATTGTAGGCAGAGTTATCCAACTTGTCAATCTGATGTACATTGTTACTAAAAATAAGTATTGTAAGTTTTCAATTGAATATCTCAAGCAATAATTGAGATATTTGACTTTACAAAAAAAACTTTAACCAAAATTTTCTAAGTTAAAAAGGGGCCATAATTCTGTCAATTATTGTAGGCGAAGTTATCCAACTTGTCTATCTGATGTACCTTGTTACTAAAAATAAGTATTGTAAGTTTCAATTGATTATCTCGAGTAATAATTGAGATATTTGACTTTACAAAAAACTTTAACCAACGCCGACTCGGACGCCGACGCCAGGGCGACTACAATAGCTCTCATATTCTTCGAATAGTGGAGCTAAAAAAGGAGATTTCAATAATTGTCCATGAAAAATATAAATGTTATAGTAAATTCCATGTGGACCATAACTATTAAAGAAAGCAGTGCCACATAAAATGTTGATACACCAGGTAATTTTACCTTAAACTTAACCTCTTAGGAAATGATACAGAATTTTTTTATAAAACATAAATCTATTATATATTAATAAACAAACATATTTAATTGACTAAAATAAGGTAGTCCTAACAAATTTCATTACAAAATATGAGAATTATGGCAACTCTCCTAAGATGCCTAAATGTCCAAGATAATGCACTAAATCACTACAAAATATGAAAATTTTACCTAATTATAAGAGCCTTGGAATTTAAACAAAGCTATAAGAGGAACATTAATCTATCATATTAATAAACAACTGTATCTAATTGACTAAAGTAAGGAAGTCCCACAAAATTTCATTACAAAATATAAGAGTTATTGCAAATTTTTACCTTATTATAACAGCCTAGGAAATGAAACAGAAGTAAGTGTAACATAAATCTATTATATTAATTAACAAGCATATCTAATTGATTAAAATAAGAATATCTCGATAAATTACATTGAATATTCAAAAAATTATGGCTTATTTCCTATGATGTATAACTATACAAGCTTACACACTAATTCATTAAAAATGGGAGTAAATATTACCTGATTATAACCTCATGGTAAATGAATCAATTAGTTAGTTAAGCAACATTTATTATTAATATTAAGTAATAAGCCTACATCACATTGACTTATATAAGAAATCCCAACAAATTTCATCGAAAATTTAAGAAATAATGGCTAATTTTCTAATAATGTTATTAATAATTTTTACCAATAAAAAACTAAATCATTGAAAAATTTGGGTAAGTTTACCTAGTTATAGACCTTTATGGTCACTGAAACAAAGTAAACAAGCATTTGATAGTTATAATTGAGGGCAATACCAGTAGTCCCCACCGTTGGCCGGTCTCAAAAAGTTCTTTAACCCTTTCCCCATGAGCAAAAATTGTGAAAAATTGGCCATTTTCACTGAAAAAGCCTCCCTGTTACAAGTTCAAAACTGCTATGAAACTATGAAAAATGCTTCAATACTAATCAAACTTGGCACAAATGTTGACTGGACCATTGCCTTTGTAACGACATGCTCATTCTTAAATTTCCTGTTACCCATGGCAACGAGGGGGACATCTCAAAAATTGCCAAAATCAATTTTTTTGCCTCGATTTTTTCCATCAAAATTTTCATTTTCAAAGTGCTGCAACTTCTCAAGGGATTGAGATAGAGTCAAAGGCTTTTCAGCATTGGTTACACGTTACCTTATGATCGACCTGGGTCATTTTTTAAGCCTCTCACAAGTCAAAATTTTCTTGGCGATGAGGGGGAACTCCCGCCCCCCTTCAAACCCCCCAAACAGAAGGGGGCACATCCCCCTTCTGCAACCCCTGAATGTAATATTTGGATGGGGGACGGCGCCGAAAAAATTGGTCACTTTTTTTAACAACATTTCTCAAACAAAAGACAGTGTTTGGGCCTAAAAAGGGCATTTTTTCAACTGTTTGAGGCCTCAAAAAGGGGGGGGGGGGCAAAAACCCGTCGAAACACGCTTATATAAGGGAAAAGGTTAATTGTCATACACTCCTGGTGTATTGCCATTTATAATGAATTGAGGATGAAGTCTGTATTTGAAAATATCAACCACAAAACATAATAAAATAAGTTTGTCTATATCACAGTAATGTGTTAAGTTTCCATGCTTAGTAAGGAAATTATGTTTATACAACCTTGTCATATTATTACGATGTGTGGATTTTAAAGTAAATCCTATAAGGAATGAAGAAGTTGGAGTGAAAATACCAGTTTCTCGAAAAAAATCTAAGTCCAAGGGGGACATAATTCTGGAAATAGTTTTGCTAGAGTATTTAACCTTCTCAAAAATGTCGAGTGATAATAAGAAACACCCTATATATGAAGTTTGAAGTAGATACATTAGGAAATAAAGAAGTTATTTAAAAAAGACAACATTTTTTCCCCTAAAAAATCTAAGTTCAAGGGAGGTAAATACTGATATTTTTGTGCTAGAGTTATAAACCTTGTCACATATGATGTGGTGATGACCAGAAACTTATATTTAAAGTTTGAAAGTAAACACCTTAAGAAATAAAGAACATATAGTGAAAAAGCTGAAAAATTTAAATCAGAAATCTTGAAATTCAGGCTATTTGTTGCCATAGCAACCAGAATTTTCAACATAGGAAGAAAAGAAAAAGATGTGCATAATTTCCAGACTGCCATCTACCCATATTTCAAGTTTCATAAAAATATTTTCAGTACTTTTTGAGTTATCACTGGATCAAGTTTATGTGTTAAATTTGCCCAAATTT